GAGATGAGGTCTCGCCTGCCCAGGCGGGTCTCGAACCCACGGGCTCAGACAATCCACTCAACTCAGCCTCCCAAAGGCATGGGATTACAGGCTGAGCCACCGAGCCCGGCTTTAATTTTTTAATTTTTTGTAGAGACACTGTGTTGCCCAGGCTGGTCTAAAACTCTTGGGCTCAAGCAGTCTTCTTGCTTTGGCCTCCAAAATGCTGAGATTACAGGCATGAGGCACTGTACCCATCCCCGCTTCTCCTTTTTCTAATAAAGACTAGTCATTGAATTTAGAGTGTACCCTTATCCAGTATAACCTCATGTTAGCTAATTATGTCTTCAGAGACTCCATTTTCAAGTAAGATTGCCTTCTTCTGGGGTTCTAGGTTAACATGAGTCTGGGGGACACTATTCAACCTGGTAGGACCTCCTCACAGGCTGTTGTGAGGTAAATACCATAAGTGCATACTGTGCGTGGTGCAGTGTGCAGCAGGTGGAAGGCACTCGATCAACAGTGGCCTTGATGTCCCTCTTCCCTCCCCTTCCCTCTACTCCTGGCATCCTATGACAGTGAACCAGGGCCCTTGCCCCAGCACCCAGGTGTCTCTGTTACTCCCCTTGAGGTACTTGAGCCATGTCTGGCGTCGCTTATTGGCAGCTGAGTTAATGCTGAGAGAGCCAGTCATATCTGGGATGATCCTTTCCTCAGAGCCTGACCAGGGCACATAGAGAAACAGGCTGCTCTCCCCTCAGACTTTGCAGCTGTTTCGGTTGCAGCCACTTGGGCTGACCCATTGGCCAGGGGAGCTCATACCCTAAGACTCCCATCCAGCCCTATCTCATGCTCCTCAGACCTGAGCCTGGAGATGAGTAGGGAGGGCCACTCCCCAGGCCTTCTGGGATAGCTGGGCTTGATACAGGGGACCGAGGTGCCTTTGACTCAGCTACAGGGGTGGATCTAGCTGTCTGCCGTGAGAACATGTGCTGGGCTCAGCTGACTAGAGGAGGTTGCTGCCTGCCCTCCCCTGGGTGTGTGCAGAGTTGTGGATCCAGGCGTGGAAGGGAGTAGTGGAGAGGGCACCATCCATCACATGCTTCTGTCACGGCCAGCTCACGGCCGAGGGATGGAGCCAAGATGGGCCTTGTCAGCCACCAGCAAGGACATGAGAAGGGCTTGCATGACCTCCAGGAAAACAGTGTGGCTATGTGCATTCACACTTTCATCATACTCTGACCTAGGAGTTCCATTCCTGAGACTGTCAGAAGAGTTCCCCCTCCCATGGGGGCGATCACGTGCCTGGAGACATCTGCACCAGCGTGGGCCCAGGGCCTGGGCACCCACAGGAGGGCAGCAAGTGGTTATGTCGGTGGTGGGGCCTCTTGGTGGACGTCAGGCGGCCATAAGAGGAGTACATGGAAAGACCATGGAGCCAAGATAGAAAGTCTAATAATGGACTGGGTGCAGTGGCTCGTGCCTATAATCCCAGCACTTTGGGAGGCTGAGGTGGGAGGATCGCTTGTGCTCAGGAGCTCAAGAGCAACCTTGGCAACATGGGAAAACTCCATCTCTAAAAGAAATCTAAGAAAATGAGCACCTATAGTCCCAGCTACTTGGGAGGATTGCTTGAGCCCAGGAGGTTGAGGTTATGGTGAGCTAGGGAGACCCTGACTCAAGAACAAACAAAAGCCAGTAATGTGCTGATTAGTATTTTAAGGTTAGGAAAGATAATTTATACAGGCCCAGTGTTTTAACAGAACATCCATATAAGGAAAGACCGAGTAGGAGTAGATAGAAAGGCTTATCTATATATATATTTTGAATTGGAATCTCACTCTGTTGTCCAGTCTGGAGTGCAGTGGCATGCTCACGGCCACCCTAGCGTCAACCTGCTGGGCTCAGGCATCCTTCCACCTCAGCCTTCCAAGTAGTCGGAACTATAGCCATGGGCTACCACACCCAACTAATTAATTTTATTTATTGTAGAGACAAGGTCTCGCCAAGTTGCCCAGGCTGTTCTCAAACCCGTGTGCCCAGGCAGTCCCCTCGCCTTGGCCTCCCTAGGTGCTGGGATTACAGGCTTGAACTACCACACCCAGCCTATATTTTTAAATTGATATATGATCATTTTGGTTTAAAGAAAAAGAGTGGAGGGCAGGAAAGGAATGCCATCTGGGGCAGAGCCTCAGCCTTGCAGCCCAACCTGAGATGGGCTGAGTGTCCCTGCAAAGGGTGTGAACTAGGAGGGTGGAGGCAGGGCTGCTGGTGGTGCCTCGTCCAGTAATGGTCCCAAGGTTGTCTGTTGTCCTTACCTTCAACATGAGGCCTGCTGGGGCCAAACAGCCCATATCCAAACCACAGCAGGCCATGTGTATCCACACCTGACGATCTCTGTCCTCCTGTGGAAACAAATTCGGCAAACACAAGACCTGCTCCTGAGTGGAGCTCCTGTTGGGCAGAGAAGGCTCTAGCCACTGAGGGGTCAGCGTGTGCTGGACATGCTGACCAGGGGGAGGTTCCACAGGGGAGCCAGGAGCCAGTGACAGACTCTGAAGACAGAGTTCCTCTTGGGTGCTTGGCATGTTTTCTTCCTGGTTGTACCTGAGGATGTAGATCTCTGTATCCTGCTATTTATTGTTTTTGAGTAAGGGTCTCACTCTCTTGCCCAGGCTGGAGTGGACACAGTGGCACAATCACAGCTCATTGCAGCCTCTGTCTTCTGGCTTGGGGTATCTTTCTACCTCAGCCTCCCAAGTAGCTGGGACTACAGATGCACAGCACCGTGCCTGGCTAATTTTTTTGGGGGGCGAGGGGATTGGAGTCTTACGTTGTTATCCAGGCTGGAGCATAATAGCATGCTCACTGCCACTGCAGCCTCGACAGGCTGGGCTCAGGTGACCCTTCTGCCTCAACCTTCCAAGTAGCTGGAACCACAGCTGCACATCACCATGCCCAGGTAATTTTTTGATTTATTTATTTTAGAGATGAGGTCTTACCAAGTTGCCCAGTCTCAAACCCCTGGACTCAGGTAGTTCTCTTGCTTCCACCTCCCAAAGTGTTGGGATTATAGACGTGAGCCACCCCGGCTGGCTTAATTTTTAAAAAAATTTTTTTGTAGCCATGGATTTTGCTATGTTGCCCAGGCTCGTTTTGAACTTCCAAGTTCAAGCAATTCTCCCACCTTTGCCTCCTAAAACATGTTCTGCCCTGCACAGTCCCATGTATTCCACATTCCTTCCTACTTCGCCACTTTCATTCTCCATGGAGAACAGCAGTATCCCTCGCGCATTCCCAGTTGGGTGTTCTGGCTCCACGTCTGTTTTCTTCCGCTGCAGGTCCCAGAAGGAGAGCTCATGGGGCCCTGTGGGGTGGACAGTTGAGACCAAGAGGCGCTTTCCATCCCACCGTCTCAGCCTTGTTTCCCTCTGTCTGCACCCAGGCAAAGAGGCCATGCTGCGGCAGAAGGACTATGAGACGGCCACCTTGTCAGAGATCAAGGCCCTGCTCAAGAAGCATGAGGCCTTCGAGAGTGACCTGGCCGCGCACCAGGACCGCGTGGAGCAGATCGCTGCCATCGCGCAAGAGCTCAAGTAGGCAGCCTGGCAAGATCAGGCGAGGTCTTCTCAGCTGCGGCGGGAGGTGGGGGTGGGTGCCCAGATGGGAAGGGTCATTAGACAAGGCATCCTGGTGAGGAGGGAGCTGGGACTCCCCGCTTCCTGTTGGGGCCTCCGGGCTCACTGCAGCAGGTGCAGGAGCAGACAGTGACTGCCGTGGTGCTCAGCTTTCTTGTTGGGCCCCTGCGGCTTCCTGCCATGGAGCATTGGGGTGAAGGCTGGTGTCCCCTCCAGCCTGGCCAAGGCTGGGGCCGTGGGGAAAGAGACTTGGCCTTTGGTCGCCTTCCTGCTGGTCTCCTGAGCACCAAGGTGGTGGGGGCGGGGAGGGGCTGTCTGGAGGTCTGATGAAGGCCTGACTCTTTCATCACCACTAGAGCCCTGGCCCCAGCCCGAGGGAGCTGGGCCTTGGAATTAACCCGGGTTCCCTGTTCCTTGTTTCTTTCCTCCCCAGTGAGCTGGACTACTATGACTCACCCAGTGTCAATGCCCGTTGCCAAAAGATCTGTGACCAGTGGGACAATCTGGGGGCCCTGACTCAGAAGCGAAGGGAGGCCTTGGAGGTGAGGGTCCTGAGGGAGAGCCAGCAGCTCTGGGGATGAGCGTGCCTTCCTGCTCCTTGGCTCTCTGGGCTTTGGGTTCCCCGGACCTCCCCCGTCCTCAGCCTAACTGTGGAAGGTTCACTTGGGTATGGGGTTTGCACCAGGCCCTGATGGCAAGTCCTCCTCTCTAGCCCTAATATAGCTCACCTTCCCACTTCAGTGCACTTAACAGCCCAATTCCAACCCTTTGAGAGCTTTTTTCTTCCATGAACCAGAGCCATGGGGGGCGGGCCCGGTGATTGCTGTGAGGTGGTCTGTGTACCCGGCAGCACCCGGCAGCTCTTCCCCAGGAAGAGCCTGTTCTTTCTGCCTGGCTTCTCCAGTGCTTTAGAGCTGCACCCCTTGGAGCTTGCTGGAAGGTTCTGGGTGTGGGTGGGGGTGATTCTGGACATCACTCTGACCCTCTCCCCGCATGTGAATCTCCAGCGGACAGAGAAGCTGCTGGAGACCATCGACCAGCTGTACTTGGAGTACGCCAAGCGGGCTGCGCCCTTCAATAACTGGATGGAGGGGGCCATGGAGGACCTACAGGACACTTTCATTGTGCACACCATTGAGGAGATCCAGGTGAGCCCACCCCACCCTCCCCTACCCAGCCCATGCCCCCAACACACACACACAAACACACACATATACCTCACCAGAGCTCCGCCAGGCTGCACGTCCCCATAGGCAGAGGGCTGAGGGCAAGCCTTTGAAGGGTGTTGTAGACTAGAAAGCTTTGTGTTTAATTCATCTTGACTAGGTAACATATACACATGGTACGAAACCCCCAAAATAAAAAGGATGTACAGTAAGGGCTCCCTGGGACCCTCCCTTAAACCACAGGGCTCTCCCCAGAGGTAAGCGTGTGACCACAGTCTCTGCATATACAGGTAAATATGTTTTTTCCATGTTCTCCTGCACCTTTGTTTTAAAAGTGAGAAAGCAGGATTTATTGAGAGGACAGAAAAGCTCCCACAGTGAGAGGGGTTGCCCCTACCTTTCTTTTCTTTTAAACACAAAATTAGCTTTTATAATATACTATATCTCAAACCTTGATTTTTGATTTATTTATTTTGGTGCTCAGTTCAAATCAATTAACAGTTTCCTCAATCTTTTATACAGCTGCAGAATATTAAATTGATTTTTTTTTTCCTTTTTTTTTTTTGAGACCAGATTTCACTCTGTTGCCCAGGCTGGAATGCAGAGGCACAATCTAGCTCACAGTACACTGTATATAGCCTCAGCCTCCTGAGTAGCTGGGACTATAGATATGTACTGCCATACCCAGCTAATTTTTAAAATTTTTTGTAGAGATGTGGTTTTACTATGTTGCCCAGGCTGGTCTCAAACTCCTGGTCCCAAGAAATCCTCCTACTGTGGCCTCCCAAAGTGCTGGGATTATAGACATGAGCCACCACACTCAGCCCAAAGTATTAGATTTAAGTTTTTGTAAAATGCTAAGGAAGCCGGTGTTGGGGAGGTGACCTGGAAGCAGACCTCTGGGGCACTTGTGCCCCTCATTTGTGTGAGAGTAAAGGCACCAGGTGGTTGCTGTCCCTGTCACCAGCTCTGAGGAGGAAGCTGTTGCTTTGATGTCTGTCCTTTGCTTCCCATGGCCACCCCTACTGTCTGGTTCTCAGCCCCTAGGATCTGATTTGATGCCTCTAGGCCTCCCAACTGTTATGGGACCCGCTCCCGAGGCCTCCACTCCCACCTCCTCCCCGGGACCTTACAAGCTGTCTTTGCTTCTCCCACCTGGGAAGACAACAGTCCTGTGGGTGACTGTGCTGGTCCTGCTTCCCCTCTGTCCAGGGCCTGAGCACAGCCCATGAGCAGTTCAAGGCCACACTCCCCGATGCGGACAAGGAGCGCCTGGCCATCCTGGGCATCCACAACGAGGTGTCTAAGATCGTCCAGACCTACCACGTCAACATGGCGGGCTCCAACCCCTATACGATCATCACGCCTCAGGAGATCAATGGCAAATGGGACCACGTGAGTTGAAGGGCGGAGGGCTGAGCCGTTGTAAGTTTCATGAGGGCAGAGATTTTTTTGTCTTTTTTCGCTGTTGTTAATTGATTTTCATCAACTTCATCTATTTATTTATTTTTGTGTAAGAGTCTCACTCTGTCACCCAGGCTGGAGTGCAGTGGCACAGTCACGGCTCATTGCACCCTCGACCTTCTGGGCTCAGGCAATCCTCCCTCCTCAGCCTCCTGAGTAGCTGGGACTGCAGACACGTGCCATCATGCCTGGCTAACTTTTTGAATTCTTTGTAGAGATGAGATGTTGCTATGTTGCCTAGGCCAGTCTCAAACTCCTAGGCTCAAGCAGTCCTCCCAACTTGGTCTTCCAAAGTGATGGAGTTACAGGCATGTGCCACCACACCTGGCTAACTTCATCTTTTCAATTGTCACATCATGAACTCAATATTTGTGCAAATATCCAGTGACTGTATTTCCGGAACAGGTCGATCCCCTTGCTCCTGTTCCATGCCTGAACAGCCCTTCCCCCTCATGGCTTCCCCTCCTGGCCTGTGGGGCAGGTGACTGGCCCATCCCCAGAGTCCTATGGTTGTTTCCATCCAGGTACGTCAGCTAGTGCCTCGGAGGGACCAGGCGCTGACGGAAGAGCACGCCCGCCAACAGCACAATGAGCGGCTGCGCAAGCAATTCGGGGCCCAGGCCAATGTCATTGGGCCCTGGATCCAGACCAAGATGGAGGTGTGTCTCATCCTGGGAAGCAGAGCCGCACCCCCGCTGCAGCACCCTCCCAGCCAGCCCACCTGTTCCCCAGGCCCTGGTGGGCAGACCCTGAGTCCACAGTGGGCCTGCTGTCCTCCAAGGGCTGTGGAGGCCCATGTGGGGAAGGCCAACGTCTGACCTACACAAGGACACCACTAGGGACAGTCCCACAGGAGGCTCAGCTCTTGAGAGCTTGGCTCCACTTAATCCCTTGGCGTCTCCCATGTACCGTGTCCCCCTCCCCCATGACTGCCCCTCCAGGGCACTAAACCTGGCCAGAGAGGATGGTGTTCCCAGAAAGAGAACTGAGCCCTGGTTCTAGACTTTTTTGCTGAGTTGTATGGCCAGATAGTGGGTGCTGTAATGGTCAGGAAAGGGGCACTGCTTGCCCAGAGCACAGCCTCTAAGCTCCATGAGGACAGAGACCATGACTTCATGGGCCCCACCCCCAAAAAACACATTGTGCTTAGCAGATGCTCAGGGAATACCTGCTGGTATTCGTGACAGAATTTCGTGGACAGAAAGTGCTTTAACAAACAAGGCTTGTTTATGTGGATGAATGACAGGCAGAAGTAGGCTTTGGGCAGGGGTGGGTGGGTTTAGATGGCCAGGGCAGGCATCCCGGGAGGCAGAACAGCAGTAGCAAGAACATGTCCTCTAAGGAGGCAGGCAAGGTGTGGGAGGCCACAGGGGTCCTGGCCCAATAACGTCCCTGGGATGGGCATGGCCTGGGAACAAGGCTTGGCAAGGGGATTAGAGTGGAAGCAAAGGAGTGGACATCGAGGCTAACACCCAGCCCTGCATCCCCTCCCTGAGGCTGGTGGGTAGCCAAGAGATGGGTTTTCCCAGCGGTGGCCGTGCTTGCTAGACGCCTCTCCATACACCGTCTATGGCTAGGTGTGTTGTGCTAAGTGTGTCTCGCTGATGGCGGAGGGTGGCCTCCCAGGGGCTGGGATGGGGCTGAGAATTGTCGGAGGGGCTAGCCTGAGATTTTAGAGGCTCTGTCCACCACGGGAGCAGTGGGTGGACTGACCAGGCATCTCCTCCGGGGAGCAGGAGATCGGGCGGATTTCCATTGAGATGCACGGGACGCTGGAGGACCAGCTGAGCCACTTGCGGCAGTACGAAAAGAGCATTGTCAACTACAAGCCCAAGATCGACCAGCTGGAGGGCGACCATCAGCTCATCCAGGAGGCACTCATCTTCGACAACAAGCATACCAACTACACCATGGAGGTGGGTGGGCGAGGGTGGCCGCCCATCTTCCTTGGTCATGGTTTTGCCTCTCCAGTGTCCAGTGCCTTCTGGTTTCCCAGGGAACCTGTTGTGAATGCTCATTTCTAGGCCTCATCTCCACAGCTCACTGCCACCTTGACCTCCTGAGTAGCTGGACCTATAGGCATGAACCACCACGCCCAGCTAATTAAAAAAAAAATTTTTGTGTGGACTGGGTCTTGCTATGTTGCCCATGCTGGTCTCAAACTCCTGGGCTCAAGCAATCCTCCTGCCTCAGCCACCAAAGTAGCTGAGACTATAGGCACATGCCACACACCTGGCTAATATTTTTATTTTTTTCATAGAGACATGGTTTTGCTATGTTGCCCACACTGGTCTTGAACTCCTATACTCAAGCTGTCCTCCTACCTCAGCCTCCCAAACTGCTAGGATCACAAACACGAGCCAACACACCTGGCCAAGAATCTATGTATATATATTTTTTGAGTCAGGGTCTCACTATCACCCAGGCTGGAGTGCAGTGGCATGGTCATGGCTCACCACAGCCTTGACCTCCTGGGCTCAGGTGATCCTCCTGCCTCCCAAATAGCTGGGATTACAAGTGTGTGCCACTATGCCTGGCTAATTTTTTTGATTTTTTTTTTTTTTTGGTAGAGTTGAGGTCTTCTTCTGTTGCCCAGGCTGGTCTTAAACTTCTGGGCTCAAGCGATCCTTCAGCCCAGGCCTCCCAAAGTGCTAGGATTACGGGCAGTAATGTAGATTTTTTATTTTTTTAGCGGTAACTAAGCTTTCCTGGGAAGGAATCTAAATTTTTAGTAAGCACCTGGTGATTCAGGTGCTGGTGGCTCCAGAAACTGGCTTAGGGTACCTGCTTTCCATATGATGACTTGCTTTGATTGTAAAAGCATGTGCACATGGATACACATGTGTGTGTACATATATGTCTGTGTAAGTATGTGGCTGTGGGGTCAGAGACTCAAGGAATCACTCATTGTCCCTTAATCTTCCCTGCTACCAAATTGCCCTCTCTCCTGATCCGGCCCCTCTTGGCCTGGCCCCTCTTGGCAAGTCTGGTCTCTCCCAGGTAGAGACCACCCCCCAGCCCCTTTGTCATCTGGGCTCCTCTGTCTTGGTGGGTTGTGCTTGTCGCTGGCGACCCTGGGAAGCCACACTGAAGGCTGAGTTTGAACTGCTCTGGCTGTCAGACCGGAGGGGCCCAGGCCTGGGACCTCCCTGCTAACACCTTCTCTTGCCCCAGCACATCCGTGTGGGCTGGGAGCAGCTGCTCACCACCATCGCCAGGACCATCAACGAGGTGGAGAACCAGATCCTGACCCGCGACGCCAAAGGCATCAGTCAGGAGCAGATGAACGAGTTCCGGGCCTCTTTCAACCACTTTGACCGGGTGAGGGCCCCTGCCACGCTCTCTCGGGGTAGCCCCCACCCCTGCCCCAGGGCCCTGGAGGGCGCTGCCCTGGGTGTGAGACAAGGAGGAGCCGCTGTCTGTCTGCTCTGACTCGGTGCACCCCACACGGCCGGCCTTGGGATGCCTTGTGTGCCCCGTGACTCCCAGCTGTCCTGAGAGAGTGCTCGTCTTGTGGGTGGAGTGAGGACCTCTGACCCTCGTTCTTGCTCTCCTACCTTGAGGAGTTGACCCTCGAGAGAAGGCCTGTGTCCCCTGGCTGTGGGGACCATTCCTTGTTCTGCCTCAGGGAGCAGAGGAGAGATTCCTCCTGCCCTGGCCTGGCCCCACCCTGGCGACCTCTGGGCACTTCGCTGGGGACATCAGAGTCCTTGCTCCTGGGTTCTCATCCCAGCCCTGGGTCAAGCCGGGTTTTCGTGGGCGCCCCCTTCCTGGTGCCCTGGGCCAAGGGATGGCCATGGGGTGGGAGCATGGGCTTGGGGGCAGTCACCACCCTGCCTGCTTCACGGCCCTCCTGGGTAGGGGATGCCCCTTGGGATGTGGTATGGGGCAGGGCACCTCTCAGGGAGCTTCTCACCTTTTGGCTCATGGCGCCCCCACTCCCGCCCTGTTTCCTGGAGCAGGGTTGCGTGTCAGCAATGGGAGGGGTACCCCAGCCTCGTCCGTGTCTAACTGTGTGCACTTTTATTTCCCCTCCTCCCCGCCCCACCCTCCCGTCCGCATGCTCCATCCCATGTCTCCCCACTCACGCCCCCCTCCCCCGGGGCATGCCCCTCACGGCCTCCACCTCCCTGGCACCGCATGGCTCGCTGCCTGGCGCACCACGGCCCCAGGATCACTCCGGCACACTGGGTCCCGAGGAGTTCAAAGCCTGCCTCATCAGCTTGGGTTATGATATTGGCAACGACCCCCAGGTACTGGCCTCCTGCATGGAGCACGCTCGGGGTGGCATCTGGCTGAGAAGTAATGCGTGTTTCCTTTTTCTCTTCTCTCTGTCTGGACCTCCCTGTCCCTCTCCCATGGGCCGTGGGCTCGTCCTGTCCTTCTGTCTCTACCCGCTCTGTTTTGGTCTCCTTCCATGACTCCATCTTTCTCCCTCGTTTTCTTTCATGGAAATCTGCCCGGTGCCCACCATCCTCTGTCCTCTCTGTTCTTCCTCCTGTGGATGAACTGTCGGACCCCCTGGCCTTGTCACCTCCTCCCTGTGGACGTTTTCCCGAATGTGTGCGTCTCCTCCTCCTCTGTCTCTCTCTTCCTGACCCCGAACCATGAACCTCGTCCTCCCCTCTGGCCCTCTGTGCCCTGTCTGCCTGGCCCCGGGCCGGCCCTCCCTCCTCCTGCTTCCTGAACCTCCTTGTGTCTTGGGGCCACTGCCCCCCACAGAAGAAGACAGGCATGATGGACACGGATGATTTCCGCGCCTGCCTTATCTCCATGGGTTACAACATGGTAATGTAAACCCTGCCCTCCATCTGCCCTGGTGAGGAGGCAGCCAGCTGGCAAGAGAGGATGGGTCTTGCAGTACAGGCTGGAGGCCCTCAGGATATGGGCTAACGTCCCAGGAAGCCCAAGGCTTTGGTCCCTGGGGAAGATGGCTCCCTGAAGGGCTGGCCCCACTCGGGCCCATGTGTGTCTTAGAGGCCTGGCCTCCTGGGCTCTGTCTCTGCCTGTTTATCTTCTGGCACTGCCGGTGTAGATGGGGCTTCCTCACGCCCACTGTGGGCAGCTGGCAGGAAGGCTGGTGGTTTAGACATTCCGGGTTTGGGGCTGGCTCTGCTTCATCTCATACAAAGCATGGACACATAGACATCTACCTCCACCCAGCAATGACGCGGGGCAGGCCTACTGTGGCTCTGCCATTGCCCCAGACACCCCCCCTTCTGTGGTCTGCCCCCCATGGGGGCTTTCTGAAGGAGCCAATGACTCCTGGGCCACAGTGCCTTAGGCAGAGCACAGCTTAGGGCAAGGGTGTGGGACTAGAGCAGTGAGTCTGGGAGTAGACCCACCTGCTTCAGAGGAAGGGAGGGGACCCTGCACACCTTTTGTAAAGGTTAAATGAAGGACACTGTGCACATGTCTGGCACATAGGAAATAGCTTGGGAAGAGAACAGACTTTAGAGCCAGACTGTGGAGTCTGACTCCCAGCTCTGCTGCTCACTGGCTGTGTGACCCTGGGCAAGGCACTGAGCCTGGCTGGGCCTCAGGTTTCTCATCTGTACAGTGAAAAGAGTAAGATTCCTACCTCATTTTGTTGTGGTGAGGAGTAAATGATTAAAACCTATAAGGCATTTAGAATAGTGCCTGGCGTGCAGTACATGCTGCATAGGTATTGGCCACTGATCCTGTTGTTGTTGTCATTATTGTCAGCATTATTACTCGTTCCAAGGGGACTCCTGAGCTGGTCTCCACTGTTGGGTGTTATGTCCCTGTTGTGCCCTCAGGACAGCCAGGGTTAGGTCCAGGGGCCACCGTGTCCTCCTCTTCCTGCCCCAGGCTATTCCAACCCCCTAGGGTCTTTGGGTCCATATGGGAATATTCCCAGCAGGCTGTGGGCTGACAGGCCTGGGGTTGGTGTTCCTGCAGGGAGAGGCAGAATTTGCCCGCATCATGAGCATCGTGGACCCCAACCGCCTGGGGGTGGTGACATTCCAGGCCTTCATTGACTTCATGTCCCGTGAGACAGCTGACACAGACACGGCAGACCAGGTCATGGCCTCCTTCAAGATTCTGGCTGGGGACAAGGTGAGTCTCCCATGGCATGGGCACTGTGCTGGGGTGGCAGGTACTGGCTAGAACCTGGTCTTGACGGGAGAGGGTTGGGACATGAGCCCCTTGACCACCCTTTCTTCTGAGGCACCTTTCATTGCATGGCACCTCTACCCAGTTTTCTAATGTCTTGGGCTCAACTAAGGTGTCAGGACACAGTATTCGTTTAAGGGGTCCCCTGCCAGGGGCACTGTATGTCAGGACCCTTATAGCTGTGAAGAAATGGCAGGTGGAGGACAGCGTAGTGTGGATGTGATCTGAGAACCCCTGGGACTGCCCCTCGCAGCATCCTGGACACAGGCATGGGGGCAGTGATCAGGGAGAGGGACTGTGGGACACAGGAGGGACGTGCATCTCTCTCATTTTCCTATTAGAGCAGTGGTCTGCTCGGGTTTCCAAATCACCTAGTACCCTGCAGGGCCTCATCTGACAGTGGGCAAGTGGGAGGGATGCAGAGGGACTGTCTCTGTGGCATCCAGAGTCCTGTCCAAGTCTCAGCCATCTGTCCGAGGTGGTCAGGGGTGGACCTGGATGTCACTCAGACCCACAACCATCTCTAGCCTGGGGACATGAGGGGATCTTTGGGAGCCACAGACCCCTCTGATATTATATAATAGACTCAATGAGATTCCAGAAGAAATTGGGCTGAGGGTGGGGTTCTAGGAGCTGGGTTTCCTTTCTGTAAAATTCACAGGCTAATCCTTATGCCATCCTTCCTTCAGAACCGAAAAGATACAATTGCAAAAAGCAAATGCCAACAGGGAGGGAGTATAATTCCTAAAATGCCTCAATCTGTAAGGGAATAAAGGCTGAACCTCCAAAGAGGTCCCTGAAGGTCTGATTTAAATCCAAGGACACCTTCACTTGAGGTATAACCCTTTGGGACTGGAAGGATCCCTCAAACCATCTAGTTGAAGTGCCTAATTGTGTAGAGGAGGAAAACTGAGTCCCAGATAGGGGCCTGATTGACAGTGACAGCTCCACCCTCCCTCATACTGGGTCCTGGGGACTCTGGCAGAAGTAGGTCATGGGGCTGAGAGCTACCTTGTGGGTCAGAGGGCCTGAGTGGGCTCTCTTGGACTCTCAAGCTCCCAAAAGAAGCGACTTCCAAGTAGACCTGTCGGAGGCAAGACCAGGAAGGAAGAGACCTAAACTGGAGCTGTGTGGGTGGGGCAAGGCCCGCATTTCTGCAAACGTGATTAAGACAGCCTGGCCAGATTTTGGATGCTAGCTGTATCAGTAATGCCCAAACCTAATGGTCATCTTACTCAGGAGGCTGAAGTGGGAGGACTGCTTGAACCCAGGAGTTCAAGACCAGCCTGGGTAACAAAACAAGATCCTGTCACTACAAAAAATTTAAAAATTAGCTGGGTATTATTGTGTGCACCTTATCGTCTTGGCTACTCAAGAGATTGAGGGGGGAAGATTGCTTGAGTCCAGGAATTTGAGGTTGCAGTGAGCTATGATTGTGACACTGCATTCCAGCCTGAGTGACAGAGTGGGAGTTTGACTCAAAAACAATTAGACTCTGGCCAAGGTCTCCAGAGAGCCCAGTGGAGTGGTATGGGAGCCACAGGACCTATAAGGTCTGCCAGTGTCTGCTACTAGTGCTCCAGCACGTGATCACTGCAGACTGTGTGGTGCATGAGAGGGTTGTATATAGGTGTAATTAGCACATTGAAGTCGCTTGGAGAGAGGCTGAAGTGGTATCGAAATGGAAAACGAGGTGATCTTAAAATACATATACGTACACGTACAAATGGGTGGATGTGGGCAAACCTATATGTCCACACACCCAGCAGTACCAGGAGGGAACCCACATGGAGACGGACCCGGCTTCCTCTCTGGCCGCTGGGTTTTACGACCCTGCCGCGCCACCGCGCTTTCCGGCCTCCCCTTTGCGGCCACGCTGACTCCACTCTCTTCACAGAACTACATCACCGTGGAAGAGCTGCGCCGGGAGCTGCCGCCTGACCAGGCCGAGTATTGCATCGCGCGGATGGCGCCCTACACCGGCCCTGATGCCGTGCCTGGGGCCCTGGACTACATGTCCTTCTCCACGGCGCTGTATGGCGAGAGTGACCTCTAGCCCTCCTTCTGGCCACCCTCGCCCGCGCTGGCCCTCCCCGCCACGGGGGCTCCAAGCCGGGCCACGTGGCGTCCAGCTTCCCAACCCGCCAAATGACAGTTTACAAAATTATTTTCTGCAAAAAAGAAAAAAAAAAGTTATGTTTAAAAAGTTAAAAACCAAAAAAAACAAACAAAAAAACCTACATATTTTATTATAGAAAAAGTATTTTTTTCTCCACCAGACTTAAATGGAAAAGAGGAAGAATTAACTATTTGCACCGAGATGTCTTGTTGTGATGTAGGAAAATAACCAAGCACAAAGTTCCACTCCAGCCTTTTTACTGATTTTTTTTTCCTTCTGTCCGTTCCATCTGCTGTATTCATTTCTCCAATCTCATGTCCGCCTTGGTGTGGGAGTTGGGTAGGGGGTTCTTTGTCAAAAGGCACATGGGTGCATGTGTTTGCTAGCTCACTTGTCCATGAGAATATTTTATGATATTAAAGAAACTCTTTTGAAATGGCTGTTTTTAAAGAAGAGAATTTATGTGACTTCTCATTTTTAAGTCCCTTCAGTGGTATGACCAGTCTCTCTCAGCATACACTTTTGAAAAAAACGCCTGTTAAGATAAGACAAGGCAGGCTGGCGCAGTGGCTCATGCCTGTAATTCCAGCACTTTGGGAGGCTGAGGCGAGAGGATTGCCTGAGCTCAGGGGTTCGAGACCAGCCTGGGCATCTTGGTGAGACCTTGTAGAGACCTTGTCTCTACAAAAGATAAAAAAATAAGCAGGGTATGGTTGCACGCCCCTGTAATTTCAGCTACTTGGAAGGCTGAGGCAGAAGGATTGCCTGAGCCCAGCAGGTTGAGGCTGTGGTGGCCATGAGCGTGCCACTGCACTCCAGCCTGGACAACAGAGTGAGACTCCGACCAAAAAAAAAAAAAGGCAGGGTACTGTGGCTCATGCCTGTGATCCCAGTATTTGGGGAGGCTAAGGTGGAAGGATCCCTTGAACCCAGAAGTTCCAGACCAGCCTGGGCAACACAGTGACAACTCATCTCTATAAAAATCAAAATCAAAAAATTAGCCTTGTGCGATGGTATGCGCCTGTAGTCCCACCTACTGGGGAGGCTGAGCGGGGTGGATTGCTTGAGTCCAGGAGGTTGAGGCTGCAGTGAGCTGTGATCATGCCACTGCATGTACTCCAGCCTGGGCAACAGAGAGAGACCCCCGACTCAAAAAATAGGACAAACTTGGAGAGTATGGACAACTTTGACACTGCTTGCTGCAGATCACATTAAAACAGCTCTGTGGTGACAGCGCCCTTGTCTGCTTCCTGCTTGCTATTTCCTGGAAGTGTGTAGGATCCGGGATGGTGTGAGCACCTGTGCCCATCCCCGCATGTGTTTGACCCTGTTGTGTTCAGGCTTCTTACACTTCAGTTTTTTCATTTTGCAGTGGAAAAGGTGATTTCCTCACAGCTCTCCTGAGAGTCAGACGTAGGTCATGGGTGTGCAAGGGGCTTCTCAGTGATAAGCCTTGCCTTCTTTCAGTTTCCACAGTGTCAAGCAGCTCTGTGGCATCTGTATGTTCCCTACTCCACTCCTTTTTGCTGCGGGAACAGCTTGAGTTGTCTCATTACTGAGTCACTCACCCCTTTCTGTTCAGAAGGCCCCACAACAGCAGCTGTCCGGGGCCACCTGGTAGCTTGTCGGAAATGCAGAGTCTCAGGCCCCATCCCAGAGTACTGAGATAGAGTCTGATTTTACCAGCACCCCTGGGTGAATTGTGGGTGCTGCTCTAGCGTCTCCCATTTCTTTCCTTCTTAGCTGTCTCCTCCCTGAGACTTCTTTACTCAAAACTCACGACAGTGGAGACTAGCATTACTAACGGCAGGTCACAGTCACAAAAATGCACCTTAGCTGCTGAAGTCATGGATGTGTGCTCAGGTTATGACTGAGTTTAGGAGTTGAAGCAGCTTGGTGTAGTGGTTACAGGGAGTCGGGTCTGTGGGTCAGACTGTCCTTTCCAAAGCAGGTAAGTTGTGTGCTGCAGTTTCCTCGTGTGTTAAGTGGGGATAGAGATGCTATTGTAAAATGAATACTATAACATAGAGCTCATAGGATGTTTCTTAGTGCATATAAATGTTAGCTGTGCTCAGTCCTAAACGGTACGTGTCAAGGAACTCGAACCTGATTTGGGTGGGGGAATCTCTTAAAAATGGAATCTTCAACATGATATGTTTCCTCAGTTAAGGAGACTAGGGCTCCATCAGAACTCTTGACCTGAGACCAGAGATGACACTCTTCGGTGTGAGGCCCTGCTGTTGAGGGATTTGTTCATGGGGTTTGTGGAACACCTGAGCCCTGGGAAGCAAGATGCGGGCAGGAGAGGCTGCTGGGGAGGAAAGGTATGGGGAGAGAGGTTGGCATCTGCTTTGGGAAACCTTCCTGTAGATTCTACCACGGGCTGTTCAAAAGGTCAGTGCATGCTCAGTGTGGGTCTGCTGTGGTTGGATCTTCATGGGGAAAACGACAGGACAAAGCCAGAGCCTGGTCTCCTGAGAGTCAATCCTGTAAGAGGAGCTGACACCCTGGTAGCTGTTTACATGCAGTCTAATCAAGGGTAGAGTGGTGTGGGAACTCAGGAGAGGGACATTGCTCATTTTTTTCAACGATATGTAAATTATTTGAACAAAAGTATGTCCACTAAATTATTCCATAAACTAAAATTTTAATCTGTTAATGGATCAAGATTTTTATTTTTATTTATTTATTTATTTAGAGTTGGAGTCTCACTCTGTCCCCCAGACTGGAGTGCAGTGGCCGCTCCCGGCCACCACAGCCTCGTCCTGCTGGGCTCCGGCAATCCTTCCGCCTCAGCCTTCCAAGTAGCTGGAACTATAGGCACGCGCTACCACGCCCGGCTAATTTTTGATTTATTGTAGAGATGAGGTCTCGCCAAGTCGCCCAGGCGGGTCTTGAACCCGCGGGGTCAGGCAGTCCACTCACCTCAGCCTCCCAAAGCACGGGATTACAGGCTGAGCCACTGACCCCGGCGGGTCAAGATTTTTAAAACCTAGATTCTAAAGTTTTTAAAGTCGTTGTACACATCTTGTTATCATGTACCTTTTCCCATAAAGATCACACCCTTGCTTGTCCACTGTTAACTCAAACATTTAACAGGTTAAATTTCCCCCAAACAATTTCATTTGCAAACTCATTAAATTTCTTTAAACATTGTAAACCATATTTACAAGTTTTGATAATTCTCTGTGACATAGACCCTCGACTCAGGTCTATTCAAATCCAAGTAGCAGTCTTGCTCGGCACAAAGCAGTTGAAAATACTATAATTGTAGAAAGCCAAGTGCCCCTGACCAGGCTGATGCTGTTTACCAACCATCCATTCCCCTGTCTCCAAAAGTTGTCACATGTCTAATTTCCATTGCACATTAGAGTAAAAACGACGAAGCTAATTTATACCAGATTCTCTTCCATGTCCGAGCACTTGAGCCCACAGGTGGTCATGATGGGTATAAGACTACTGACAGCATTAGTGCCAAGAGCTCATTTTACATATTTTTAAGTAGGAGTTTTAGAGTCCCTAATACTGGCTGCTAGGCATTTGGACCACAGGTTCAGAATTGTGATCTGTATCACTTGGGGATTCCAAACCACTACACAAGATGAGCGCCCAGATGCTTCCAGGAAGACTCCATCCCAGGCCAGGTGAACTCAGGCTGCCTGCGCTGGTTCCAGGGCTCTGAGCCCGGGCCTGTCACCCAGCATTTGTCTTCCACCCACTGCACCACTCGCCCTGTTTGCATCGGAACCTGTTTCCAGCTGACTTTAGTGATTGGGCAAATGGAGTCTTCCCTGACCAGGTGGCAATTCATGGCTCTCAGCCCTGCACCTCTTTCTTTTGTATTTGTATCTGCTCTGACCAAACCTCTGGAGGGACTTTGTTGGCAGCCTCAGGAAGGCCAGTCTTTGGCTCACTTGCTCTTTCTCCCTTCCTCCATCTCCCTCTCCTTTCTTTTCTCCTTCCTCTCTCCCTCCTCCCCCTCTCTTCTTCCCCTCCCTCCCTCTCCCCATCTCTCTTCCCGCTCCCTCTCTCAGTCCCTTGACAAAACCCTGTTCTGAGCACCAAGCCCGGACTGTTGCCTGTCTGCTGCCTCCTCCGTCGCTGGGCCAGCTCAGATCTGTCCCTTAGTCCAGATTCCTTCTAGTTCTAACTTCTCCCAGAAGAAAGAGAGGAGCCCTTTCTGATTTCACAGGCGGTGGAAGTGGGGTGTGCAGGAGAGACTCCAAGGGAGCTTCCGCGGGAGCCAGATGAGGATATCCACAGGTGTGAGTGTTGGGAAGACCTTTGGGCTTAGGGTCCAGCTTTCCCATTCAACAGAAAAGTCGAGGCCTGGGAGCATGGGCCGCCTACCCAGGGAAAGGTGGAGGCAGGGCTGAGGTGAGGCCTAGGTCTCCTGACTCTAGCTCACATATGGGACAGCAAGGTTTGGGGCCAAGGTGCCGGGGAGGGGGTTCTTTGGTGCCACATCCAGTCAGCATGAGATGATTGAATGCAATCACCCCCAAATGTGCCCATCCCGGTGTCATTTGCAGAAGGTGCCCTGTAGCTAGTAGGTTGTGTGTTGGTTGAGACCCTTCTGGGTGCAGGAGACACAAAAGTCAACCTAATGCTATAAAGCCAGAAGGACAGGTTACTGACTGAAATAGCAGAAGTCCCCAGAGATGATGCTGGCCTCCCAATGGCTGAGGCCAGGGCTCCCATGACACCTGCAGGGCCTGCTTCCCAAAGTTCCTCCCTCTGAAGCAGCAGAATGGTGGCAGTGCATCCCCCGCTGTGGCTACAAGTCCAGCACAGATGCACTAAACAAGGAGTGGGCCAGGCGCAGTGGCTCATGCCTGTAATCCTAGCGTTTTGGGAGGCCGAGGCGGGAGGATTGATCGCCAGCCTGGGCAATATAGTGAGATCCCACCTCTATTAAAAATAAATAAATTGGCTGGGTATGGTGGCTCACACCTGTAATCCCAGTGCTTTGGGAGGCCAAGGTAGGAGGATTGCTTGAGTCCAGAAGTTTGAGACTAGCCTGGACAACATAGTGAGACCTTGTCTGAATAATCACAGTTTTAAAAAGGAGTGGCATCCACTGGAGGAACACAACACGGTAGCCTCAACCCGGGCAGTGGGATTCATCCTTTGTCTTGGGCCTGGCCTAGGTCGTGAGTTCCCAGGAGTGGAGTGTGCAGCCCCTTGCTGCCACCTGGACTCAGAGCAGGGACATCAGGAACCCTTATCGTGAGTCTCCTCCACCTGCCCTGGGGTGACAGGAGGAGCTGGTTGTCCAGAGGGCAGGTCAACACCTGGCATGACAGCCATGAGCTCGGGGAGGGATGGGCGCCCAGCCCCCATCAGGGAAAGTGTGTGCTGGAGCAGAGGCGAGGGCCACCCCCAGCGACGGCTGTCCCCATCCTGTCACGTCCGTCCCACCTCTCAGTTGCTCCA